TTCAGGGAAAAAGCTGCCTATCTTTCACCACTGAGTATAATGTTGGCTATGAGTTTCCACGGATGGCCTTTATCATGCTAAGAACTTTTTTTTTTTTAAGACAGGGTCTCATTTGTCACCGAGGCTGAAGTGCAGTGGCACAATCTTGGCTACAGGCACACACCACCAGGGCTAGATAATTTCTTTTCTTTTTTTTTTTTTGGTAGAGATGGGGTTTTACCATGTTAATCAAGCTGGTCTTGAATTCCTGAGCTCAAGTAATCTCCCCGCCTCGGCATCCCAAAGTGCTGGGATTACAGACGTGAGTTACCATGCCCAGCCTGAGTACATTCCTTTCTATTCCTAGTTTATTCAATGTTTTTCATCGGGAGATGTTTTCAGATTTTTCAAGTACTTTTCTACATAAATTAAGAATATCATGCAATTTTATTTATTAATGTGGTATATAAAATTATTAAATTACCTGTGCTAGTCCACCCTAACTTTTCTGGGATAAATCCCACTAGGTCATAGTGCGTAATCTTTTAAACAGGCTGCTGGATTTGGTTTGCTAGTATTTTGTTGAGGATTCATGCATCTATATTCATAATGAATACAGTCCTATAGTTTTCTTGTAATATCTTTGTCTGGCTTCAGTATCAGGGTAATGATAGCCTCATGAGTTAGAAAGTATTTCCCATGTCTTCAACTTTTTTAGAAGGATTTATGTTAACTCTTCTTAAATATTTGGTAGAATTCATCAGTAAAGTCATGTGATCCTGCGCTTCTCTTTGTTGGGGGATTTTTAAAATTTTGATTCAATCTCTTGTTATAGGACTATTCAGTTTCTATTTCTTCTGTGATCAGTTTTGGTACTTTGCATCTTTCTAGGAATACAGCTATTTCAACTAGGTTATCCAATTTGTTAGCATATTTGTTGGTATACAACTTTTCATAGTATTGTCTCACGATCCTTTTTTATTTCTGTAAAGTCAGTAGTAATGTCCCCGTTTTTATTTGATTTTAATAATTTGAGTCATTTTTTTCTTAGCCAATCTAGTTAAAGGTTTATCAATTTTATCTTTTCAAAGAACCAGGTTTTGCTTTGTTAATTTTTCTGTCTTTCTATTCTCCCTTTCTTTCTGTTCTCATATTTATTTCTCCCTTCTAGCTTTGGGTTTAGTTCGCTCCTCTCATACTCATTCCCTATGGTATATACTTAGGTTATTGGAGCTCTTTCTTCTTTTTAAATGGAGACATTTATAGCTATAAAATTTCCTCTTAGCACTGCTTTCCCCACAGCCATAATTTTTGGCATATTGTGCTTTAGTTTTCTTTTGTCTCAAGGATTTTCTAATTTCCCTTGGGATTTTTTTCTTCTCATTTCATTTCAAAGAGGGAAGCCCTTGTGACTCCTTCCTTGACCCATTTGTTATACAGCAGTTTGCTTTTTGAATGTCGCATAGTTGTGAATTTTCCAGTTTGCCTTCTATTAGCAATTTCATTTTTTTCTTTTTTTTTTAGAGACAGAGTCACCCAGGTTGGAGTGCAGCGGCATGATCTCGGCCTACTGCAAGCTCTGCCTCCAGGGTTCACGCCATTCTCCTGCCTCAGCCTCCCAAGTAGCTGGGACTACAGCCACCTTCCACCACGACCGGCCTTTTTTTTTTTTTTTTTGTATTTTAGTAGAGATGGGGTTCACTGGTTAGCCAGCGATGGTCTCGATCTTCCTGACCTCGCAATCCCGCCCGTCTTGGCCTCCACAAAGCTAGGATTACAGTGCTGAACTACCATGCGCCAGCCTTCTTTTTTACTTTGAGACAACAGTCTCATTCTGCTTGAGAACAGAGTACACGTGCCAAAGATCTCAGCCTCACTACAAACCCGTGCCCTTGCTATTCTGGCCCAGTCCCCTGAGTAGGGTGGGATACGAGGTGCCTGCCAAAAAACAGCGTAATTTGTAAAAATACTTTTATAGAGATGGGTTTTCGCCATGTGATGGTCAGGCTGGCTTGAACGTTTGACCTCAGGTATCGGCAATCAGCCTTGGGCCTCCCAAAGCGCTAGGCATCACAGGTGTGAAACCTGTGCGCACCCGCTAATAAATTTCTTAAGATGGGAAATCATACAAAGTATCTCTCCATTAACAATGAAATCACTTGAACCCTGGGAGGACTGAGGCGCGCACGTGAGCGAAGATCCTACACTCTGGGGCTCACTCCAGCCTGGGCAACCTCGTCTCAAAAAAAAAAAAAAAATTTATGTAGGACTTCTCTTGAGCCTACATAGCGAGTAATTAGGCGAGAATGCCAGGTGCACCTGAGAGGAAAAATAGTGTATTGTGCGTATTGTCTGGAAGTGAAAGGAACAGGAATGTTATGGTCTCTTAGCTACTGTTTAGTGTTGTCAAGGCCTCGCAGTTCCGTATCTGAGTCCATGTGGGGTTGTGTCAAATCATTTATGAAAGTGAGATATGGAAGTATCCAACTGACCACGTGTAGATAGCATTTGCTGCCTATGTTTTATCAATATTGCGGGGGGGACGTTTTTTCCATATTTTGAAACTTTGCGCTAATATGCTTATAATTTACCATATATTCTGATGAATGAACCTATAAAGAAATAAATGTCTTTGTTCCCTGAACTGGTGGCTAAAATCGTATTTTCTGGCCTGGGCAGGGTGGCTCATGGGCTCACTCAATCCCAGCACTTGGGAGCCAAGCAGGTGATCACTGGGATCCCAGGGAGCTGAGTACCTGCCCAGGCGCAACCATGTGGAAATTCCTCTCTACAAACAAATTTTTTAAGAAACAAGGTTGGTGGGTGCACATGCCTGTGGTTCAAACTACCAGGAGGCGGACGTGAGGAGGACCACTTGAGCCTGGGGAGGTCAAGGCTGTGATCACACGGCGACAGCGCCCAGCCTGAGCGTACAAGCAAAGGTTTCGTATTAGAAAACAAAACAAAACAAAACAGAAACCGTCTATTGCGGACACGAGTGTGACCACGCTGTAACCCAGCACTTTGGAGGCCAAGGTGGGGCGCGGTCACACGAGGGTCAGGGAGTTCAAGAACAGCCTGGCCAACATGGTAAAAACCCGTCTTACTAAGAGAGAAGCAAAGAGATTAGCGGGTGTGGTGGCAGCGCCAGTAAGGTCCAGCTACCAGGAGGCTGAGGCAAACAGAAGTGGCTTGAACCAGGAGGCAGAGGTTGCTGTGAACCGAATCGACAGCACTGCACCATTGCACTACCAGCCTGGGGGACAAGGAGAGAGACTCTTGATTCAAAACAAACAACAAAAAAAAACCGTCTATTTTTCTGACATTAATATAGCCAACTCAGCTTTCTTTTGATTACCACTTGCATAGACTATCTTTTCCCATTCTTCTTTCAACTTCTTTGTTTCTTTGTATTGAAAGAGTCTCCTGTAGACAGTACATAGATGGACTGTGTTTTTCCAATTAGGACAATATTTGACTTTAAATCACAGAGTTTAATTCAACTACTTTCAAAATAATTACTGATAAGGACTCACTGCTATCATTTAGTTATTTGTTATCTTACATGCTTTTTTAACTTCAATTCCATCATCACTTAAAAATATATATATTTAGTTCATATTTTCTAGTGTACCATTTTGGTGTATGTGTGTGTGTAGGTTATTTTCTTTGTGGTTATTTTGGGGATTACAATTAATATCTTAAAGTTATAACAACCTAGTTTGCATAATGTCAACATTGTTTCAGTAGTTTGTAAGACTGGCATATAACATGCAATGTTTATAAAACTATTTTGTTGCTAAAGTATTATTTTCCCTCCAACTATTTTTCTTCTTTAAAGCTTAAAAAACTCCATTTCACAAATTACTTTTATTCTTTTGTTTTCTTTTACTTCTTAAAAAGGGGACTTTTAATCAATTTTATTAATTCATTTCTTTTACCTTCCCCTACTAATCAAGAAGAACGTTACAAAAATCTAGGTTTGGCTAATAATGAATGATTACTATTAATTTTATCATGGCCATTTTCTCTCTCACTTTTTATTTCTTTTGATTGTGCTCTTAAAATTATTTTGTTACAAAAAATGGAAGTCTCGGCCAGGCACATTGGCTTACGTCTGTAATCCCAGCATTTTGGGAGGCAGAGGTGGGTGGATCGCCTAAGGTCAGGAGTTCGAGACCATCCTAGCCAACATGGCAAAACCCTGTCTCTACTGAAAATACAAAAATTAGCCAGGCATGTTGGCGGGTACCTGTAATCCCAGCTACCTGGGAGGCTGAGGCTGGAGAATCTCTTGAACTGGGGAGGTGGAAGTTGCAGTCAGCGAGACTGCGCCACTGCACTCCAGCCTGGGAGACAAGAGCAAAACTCTGTCTCGAAACAAAACAAAACAAAATAAAACAAAAAAACTATGAATTAGAAGCAACTTGAGGGGTTACCTCTTTGTTATAATAACTTCTCACTCTTTTTTCCACATTATAAATTATGCTTAATCATCCCTAGGTTTGATTTTGCTGTGAATTTATTCTTCAATTCGTAGAAACCTCAACATTCTATAGAACTTCCTCTATTCAACAATACAGACAGATGCCAATTCCAGAAACCTCTCTACACCCACACCACAACCCCTGTATTTCTTATTCACCTGCTATAAATATTATTTGCTTGAGACCCTTGTTTTTGTTTCTGCCAGTTTGTTTTTCTTTCCACTTTGTTTCATGTGCTGCCTCCTTCAAGGTCTCTAAAAAGAGAACTACTCCCTCAATTCTCTTTATAACCGTTTTCTTTTTCTTTGATCTCTTAGAAATCTTTATTACACAAATATTTTCTAATTTTTTCTTCACTCAAACCTCTTTTCCAGGCTCTTAAACAGCATTTCTTACTTGCCGAATAGCTTCACGGATGAACTTTATTTCCCTCAAAACCAAATTTTCAGGGTCTATTAATGGCTTATCATATTCCCTGTCACTCAAGATTTAATCTTTAGAATTCTTTTTCAATATTCCCCCTTCCCTACTCACCATGGTCAACAGATCAGTGTCTTCTTACATTGAGGTTTTCAATTTACTCTAAATCAAAATCATGAAGAAATGTTGTTAAAAATGTAGATTCATGTGCTTTATCCTGAATTTGCTGAACAGGTTTTCAAGAATAGATCCCACAAATCTTTTAAAATCAACAATCCATGTAAGATTTAGGCATACTACATTTTGAGAACTATTGCATTATATCAATTTTCACCTAATTCTGCTCATTCTACCTTCCCAGTGTTTCTCATCCATTTCTCTCCTATTGTTTCTACCCTAGTTCAGGGCTGCTACATCTCTTAGCTAGACATCTGTAATAGGATTTTCCTGCCTCTAGGATATTTCCCACTTTAATTCATCCTACACACTGGAGTCTTATTAATCTTACGAAATTGCAGCTCTGCTCATTTAATGTGACAACAATTTACTGAGAGCATACTATATACTAGGTGCTCTAGGGCAGTAGGTTCTAAATGGTGTGATCACCAGGGAAAGGGAAAACTTTTCAAAACAGAGATCCTCCACCACCTCTCCAGGCCTACTTAATTACAATATTCAGAGCTAGAATTAAGACAAGTTTCTTTTTAAAAAGTTCCCCAACTGACTCCTTCGGGTAACACTAGATAATTTTGAATAACATTAGACCGGAACAAATAAAGATTAAGACATTCTTGTGTATTTTAGAATGTACTGGGAGGGGATATGAACATATGCAAATAGCTACCATATAATATGCCGATTATTGTTATATTGGAGGTACCGAGTGCCATGAAAAGATTAATTCGAACTGCATTAAATACCTTCAGCAACACACCCAGCTGGATGAAATCTGTTTGCCCTCTGATCTCCCATAGCACTTTATCTATAATCCTCTCATGGTTTTCTTTTCATCTTGCTCAATAATTATTTTTTTATTTGTCTCATTTCCTCTACCCTTGTACTTGAGGATGCAGTCTTGGTCTTTGCAGTGCATATGGTCTGACAAGAAATTTTTTTTGGAGTTCGAATTTATTTACAAGATAAAGTTACACAAAAATTAAATTTTGTATAGTTATATATTTAATAAATTATCTCAAAAATAGGTCCTTCTAACTCTAGGGTATATGTAGCCAAACTTACAGATCTTAAACTCTGTATGGCACTTAGTACAGTTCCTTTAACACAGCAAGTACTCAATAAAAAAAGCTGTGTGTAAACCAATGGGGTCTGGGAAAAATGTATTTGAATATGCAATAAAAATACCTAATAAGTCCAATATCCACCATAAGAGGTTATGATTCCAAATGAAATAACACGGTGGTGGTTTTTGCAAACTGATAACCTGTAAGTCAAAACCAGCCAAACTGTTTTGTTTGGATGGCTCAGGTGGGGATGGAGGGTTGTTTACAATTTTAATTCGAATGTCTTTGGTCTGGGCAAATATACCCTGAATTGCCACAGGCCCTACCACTTCCTATTATTTTACACTAATCTGACTTACACATTTATGCTATCTATAGGTCTAAAGATGAGAGTTCTGAAAGGTGTCAGATAACTGCTCCCAATCATTTCTGCTTTTTGAGTCTTGGCTACTGTTATGGGCTTGAGTCCCCCCAAAAGTTATGTGTTAAAGTTGTAACCCCTAGTACTTCAGAAAGTAACGCTATTTGGAGATAAGGTGTTTGAAGGGGTAATTAAGCTAAAACGAGGTCTTTAACACGAGCCTGAATCCAATAGGGTTAGTGTTCTTACAAGGAAAGAAAATTTGGACACAGGTGTGCGCACGCATGGAGGAAACACCATATGAAAACAAAGAGATGCGACAGTGATCTGTAAGTCAAGGAGAGAGAACTCAGAAAGAAACCAACCCTGCTGACACCTTGATCTTGAACTTGTAGCCTCCAGAATTGTGAGAAAATAACTTTCTGTTGTTTAAGTCACCTAATCTGTGGTATTTTATGTTTGCTCTAGCAAACTAATATGGATCTCAACTATGTTTAACGTTAATCTTGGCATTTTTACATCAAAACTTATTTGTTCAAGTCTGTCTGCCAGGTACATGGTGAACACAATTCTGAGTAGTTTAGGATTTAGATGATGCAAGTTATATGTAAGATATATTCATAAACATAAATAAGAAACATTATAGGGAATACAACAAAAATGCCAAATAAAGACTATTATAGGCACACAAGAGGGAGAGAGGTGACTATGGACTAGTTCACAAAAGAATCACAATTTGAGCTGGGTCTTAAAAGCATAAGTAGGATTCAGCCAAGCTGAGGGGAGAGTACATCAAGGAGAGAATAGTGTACAATGGCAAATACATGTCTCCTACCAGAGGAAAATTTTCTCCTTTTAAGTAACTATGTTCAAGTTTCTTTTCTGTGCTTTCTAACCTCTAAGATCACTATATATCTTTAAATGAATGGTCTAAGTCCTTAGAAAATTTAGGCATTTTTTTTTCTTGTCAGATAAATAACAGTTCAACTGACTTTGTTCAGTACAACACTGACATCCAAAGGATACTCAGGTTCATCTGAAGGCTTCTTGGGCTTCTACTGAGTTGATTTTCAAATGGTCTATGTAGCCAGTAAGTAGCTCATGGAATATTCTCTTTTGAAACCCTGGGCATTTTTTGATCTCTTGCCCATTTATCAAATCTCATCACATTAAATGGCTCCACAATGCAGGCGGCCTGTGTTTTCTTAAGTGCCTCCTCTTCTTAAGAATGTATTACTCAGTTCATTAATGTTTCATACCTAAGTATTCTGTGTATTTAATTTTTTATTTAACGAAATTTCTAACCTTCAGGCTGAGGAATTATTCAGAATGTTTCATCCAAGTTGCTGGAAAAGTGCTCATTAGCAGGGAGTTTTGAAGACGGAATTTTAAGAAAGGGGTTGGCAGGATCCCAAACATACAGATCTAAGCTTTCATAAACACTTCCCTACCTTAACTATGGAGGAAGAAATTGTTCTTGATAAGCAGATAAGTTTTGCTTTAGTTTTTCCATTTTGGTGACAAGAATTTAATAATGATTTCTGCGATCTGATAAAAGATGTTCGTTTAAAGAGCTCTCTGCAGAAAGCAGAGAACTTTAAGTGTGGTCACTAAAGTTTACTTTCATTGACAAATGAGATCGTCCTGTGTGAGACTATCATCATTAAATGAGATACAACTGAAACCAAAGCAGCCATGTTTACCATTTGGTTTAAAATATTTTAGATTAAAATAATGCTCCTAACGAAAGGAGTCTCAGCTGAATTAGTTAGATTCTTGGCACGGACTGTGCTCAAATCACCTGCTCATCTTTACCACCTGCCTTCAGATTTATGGGCGATTAAGAATTTAAGTCGGAGAACCTATGAGACTATTACAGAAAATAATTTCAGGTCTTCGTCCATTAACTGTTTCAGATGAAATTTGGGGTCAGTAAGAACCAGAACGTTAAATGTCATTGTAAACTCAAATCACATTCAATGGTTAAAGACTACAAAATGTGTGCAGTGCAGTTAAAAAACCTCACACAGCAAGAGGTTATTGAATGTTTAAAGATCCCAAATTTCAACTTTTCCTGGTTAAGTACAGGTATGTTGTGTAACAAAGTTGACAGCGGGTTTGTTACCCCCGAGTTGGAGGAGGAGGCGCTACCACACGCTTACCTTAGGGAAATAACGTGCACTTTATAACCGTTCAGGTAAATCGTTGGGCGAGAAAGAAGAATAAAGGACACGGCCGGTGGAGTGACCCCAGCACACAGTCCCGTGGCTGCTCCCCAGGAAACGGCCGCAGCCCCAAATCTCCTCGTCCCTCTAGCAGGGAGAGTTTTCCCGCGGAGTCTCGCCTTGCGGCCGGAAGCCACCTTAAGGCCGCCCACCCGGAAGCCGTCGTCTTGGCAACTCGGTATCGTCCCACCCCCTTTTCTTAGCAACGTCTATCACCTTAGACCTCTGAGGCCAGCCGGGCTTCGATTGGTTCCTCTATCCTTCACTCTGGGAGACGTTTGAGACAGAGTCTCTAGAGCTCGTATTTGAATTTGTGGCGCTTGTTGTCCGCGAGTTGCCGAATGAAGCTGAGCGGTTCGGAACCAGGGCTCTCAGGGGTGAGCGACCGCGAGGGGAGAGAGACCAAAAGGGCGGCCGGAACTGGAGGGGTGCCGAGTTAAACAGAAAAGGGCGGCCGGAGCTGGAGGGGCGCCGAGTTAAACAGGCCAGTTCCAGATGGAGCGCTTCAGGCTGGCTGCTTCGCTCCCCTGAGGCAGGCCCTCCGTCTGTTCGCCTGCTCGTAGCCTCTAGGTTTTTCCCTCACGTCGTTTTTCGGCAGTCTCAGAGACGCCACGCCCGCCCCCGTTCTGCTGCCCCTGATGGAAGGCTCCTCTTAATGCTACCTTCCCTCTTTCACAAACAAAATGTCTCAGCTTCCTTCCTTCTCCGACGTGCTTACACCTCCCCCAAGTATAATTCACTCCCCACTGATGTCTTTGGTAATTGCATCCTCGTCTTCATCACTAACACTGAGACACGGGGTGCGTGCACTTGACGATGTGGAAAAATGGCTTTCGCGCAATCTGGTGAGCGTCCGACATCTCACAAATTGAATCCAGAACGTTCCTTATCCAGAAAAGATGCTGCTGTCCTACTCTTCCCGACCGGGAATATCGTAACGTGGAAAGCAGCAACTGACAGCGTTTTATAAAGCGCTACGAAAGTAAGCTATTGACTCATTCACATCGGAAACATAATTGTTTTGTTTTTGGTCGGACCTTGTTGATCTGTACGTTTCGTATTGGGTTTATGGATACTGTTCAGACTTTGAAACGAATAATGCCAAAAGTTACGCTGGAGGATAAACTCTGAGGATTGATCCGAAGCACAAAAGTCGCCACTGATTGATACCTTCTCTTCATTAACCTTTAGCTTCTTTGTCTATTATGATACTTCTCCCATCCCAGTGGATTTAATTTCCACTGAGATTTATGAACATTTTAGGAGTTTACGGTCTAAATAGACAGCTTTCCCCACATCTCCTGTATATGAAATGTGGATATCAGTGGGACCCAGTCCAGTTCTAGACGTTTCTTTATATATATATATACACACACACACACACACACACACAAAATGTAATTTGTTGTCTATCTGTATATTATATATAATATATCTATATGATTTTTTAAGTAGAAATAAGCAGCAAAACAGAGTGTTTTACTCCTACGGAATGGCTGTCATTTCTGTTTTAAGACTTGTAGTTTGGAGGGAGGTGGAATGAGAAGGCTGAAACTTACATGAGCACTGATTTAAGGATATTAGAAAAGTCATTTCTAAGTGTGGAGGTCCACACCTGTAATCCCAACCAACACTTTGGGAGGCTGAGGAGAAAGGATTGCTTCAGCCCAGGAGTTTGAGAACAGCCCAGGAGTTCAAGACGATAGTGGGACCCCATCTCTACAAAAAAATTTAAAATTAGCCAACTGTGGTGGTGGTCGCCTTGCTCCCAACTACTCAAGAGGCTGAGGTGGGAGGATCACTTGGGCCGGGAGTTCCAGGCTGCAGTGACCAATGCTCGTGTCTATCTCCAAAACAAACAAAAAACAGAGAGATAAAGGTAGTAAGGTAGTATATGAGCACAGGGGCATACCAAAAAATAAGTTGACAAGTTATTGCATCCAGAGTCTTTTTGAATTAACAAGAAATAGGAAAATTCTTGATCAACATGAAGAGTGAAAATAGTTTGTGTGCCTTAATTTTTTTGATGTTTTATTTTAAAATAATTTTATGGTGAAATTCTACCAGCATATACCTAAATATAATCTCATAATCCTCTTCCTAACCATCTCAGGCATTATTTTTCACATGAGACCATTAGCTCACCTGAAATTTGCTTTTGTATGTGATGTGAGGAGTGGCTTTAACTAAATTTTTTTTCACTGTTCGGTTGCCATTTTGGGGAGATTAGTCTTTAGTTTTGCTTTATTGTGATTGTCTGGTTTTAGAATTAGGGTATAGGTGTCTGACATCTTTAAATGATCTAGGATGTGTTGTATTCTCTACTTCTTGAAAAAGTTTGTATAAGATTGGCATTTCATTGTTAAGTGTTTGATAGAATACATCCATCTATGGCTGGTATTTTCATTTTGAGGAAGTTTTCATGAAATTAAGAAGTAAATTCTATTTGCCTACATCTTTAACATTTCTGTCACTCTTTATTTCTTGTAGATCCATATTTTCATAATTTTCCTTCAGTTTGAATAACTTCCTTTATTTAATACTGCATGTATGTGAAGGATTCTATCAGTGTTTGTTTCTTAGAAAATGTTTTTATTCAACTTTCATTTTTGAAAAATCTATTTTTAAACTGCATATATAATTCTAGGTTGACTTTTGTTTAGCACTTTAATATTCTATTGTCCTCTGGCTGTTGTTTTTAGATACTTGGTGTCGTTCTTATCTTTGTTCTCCTGTGTATAATGTCTCCCCCAACCCCATCCCACCTCACCCTCACTTTTGAAAAAACAAAGTCGGGCATATTTAGGCATAATTTGCGTATGGTAAAGTTGACCCTTTTAAGGAATATTGTTCTATGAGTTTTGACAAAGGTAAAGAGTTGTGAACTACTATCACAATCATTTTTAGTGTATCTGTAAGTCTGTAAAGTCCTCTCATGCCCTTATTATTGATTTTCTATCCTCACCATTGGTCCCTAGCAACCTTTGATCTGATATCTACTGCTATAGATTTGTGTTTGGAGGCATCATGTTAGTGGAATCACATAGTATGAGCTGGTTGTGTCTGGCTTCTTTCACTTGATATAATACTTTTAAGATTCATCCATGTTCTTGCATGTATCACTAATTTTTTCTTTTAATGTGTGAGTAGTATTCCATTATATGTATTACCACAGTTTGTTTATCCATTCAACAGTTAATGGACTTTGAGTTGTTTCCAGGTTTTGGCTGTTAGTAATAAAGCTGCTATAAACATTTGGCTACAGGTGTTTGTGTGGCCATAGATTTTAATTTCTTGCTTGCTTGCTTTTTTTTTTCCCCCCCTCTCTCTTTTTTTTGTTTTGTTTTGTTTTTGAGGTAGGGTATGACTCACCATAACCTCGAATTCCTGGGCCTCAGCTTCTCTGAGTAGCTGGGACTACAGGAGCATGTCACCATGCCTAACTAATTTTTAATTTTTTGTAGAAACATGGTCTTGCTGTGTTGTCTAGGCTGGTCTTAACCTCCTGCCTCAAGCAATCCTTCCACGTCAGCCTCCCAAAGTGTTGGAATTACAGGTGGGAGCCATCATGCTCAGCCTTAATTTTGTAAAATACTTTCAAACCTTTTTCAAAAGTGGCTGTCCCATTTTGCATTCCCATCAGCAGCGTACGGCAGTTCCAGTTATTCAACAGTCATATCAGCCCTTGGGGTTATTAGTAGTTTAAATTTTTTTAACTTATTGCCTTTCTAGGTGTGTACTGATTGTCTCACTGTATTTTAAGTTATATTTCTCAGGATGCTTAATGAAATAGAGTAGTAGTTCATCCGACTTTGTTATCTGAACGTCTTTTGTGAAGCATTATTAAATGTTTTGGCCTTTTTTTTTTTTTTTTTTTTTTTTTTTAAGATGCAGTCTCACTCTGTTGCCCAGGCTGGAGTGCAGTGGCACGATCTCAGCTCACTGCAGCCTCCCCATCCTGGGTTCAAGCAGTTCTCCCATCTCAGTCTCCTGGGTAGCTAGGATTACAGGCGCGCACCACCATGCCCAGCTAATTTTTGTATTTTTAGTAGAGACCAGGTTTCACCACGTTGGCCAAGCTGGTCTCAAACTCCTGACCTTGAGGATCCACCTGCTTTGGCTTCACAAAGTGCTGGGATTATAGGCGTTTGAGTCACCGTGCCTGGCCTGTTTTGCCTCTTTTATTTGGTAGTTTTATTGAGGTACAATTTACATACAACAAATTTCATACTTTTAAAATGTATACTTTGATAAGTTTTGACATGTACCCATGAAACCATCACCACAATCACATTAATGTACATCTGTAACATGGCTGAACCTCAAAAACATGTTGAGTGAAAGAACCCAGTCACAAAAGGACATATAGCGTATGATTTTATTTATAAAAAATTTGCAGAACAGGCAAATCCATAGAGATAGAAAGTAGATTAATGGTTGATAGGGGCCAGGGTAGGGGAGAATGGGAAATTACTGCTAATGAGTATAGAGTTTCTTTTTGAGATGATGCAAATAGTCTGGAATTAGATAGTTGTGGTGGTTGCACAGCTTTGTGAATACTCTCAAAACTATGAATCATACACTTTAAAGGGTGGATTTTATGGTATATAAGTTACATCAATAAAGCTGTTGCGAAAAAGAAAAATAACTCTAGTTGTGATCTAAGGGGCTGTTCAAAAAGCATTGTTTGTAATAGTAGAAACATGGAAACTAAATTTCCATCAGAAGAATGATAAAAATGGGTGTATATTTTTAAAATGAAAGTGATGCTATTAAAATAATGAAGCCAAACAGTATGTATCAATATGATATATCTCACAGTCAGTTTGAGGGGAAAACCATTGTAGAATAATCTATAACAAATATAACACAGAATTAGAATTTAGAAATATGTAGAATAGTATATAGTTTAGTAAAAGTATCAAAAATGCATGGGGATCATAAAATCAGCTTCCAGGTGGTAATTAGCTGTAGTGATCACTTATGGTACATGTACCTGGTGTGGATGGGGGGAAGACGAGGGGAATGTTATTAAGGAAGTGTTCATAGAATGTTTCAACTATATTAGTAGTGTTTTATTAAACTGCGTAATAGGTATACAGAAGTTATTTTTATTTTTAGAATATT